ATTTGTGACAACACTTGGGAGACAGCAGAGAGTAGCAGATGAATGTCTATCTGTGTATGCTGCAGATGGTCAAGGGCTATAGTATTCAATATGAATTGACGTTCAACATCAAGAAAACAAATATTCTCATCACTGGGCCAACTGGTAGTTTCATGGTGGATGGAGAAGACATTGAGACTGTTAACAGTTTCAGCTGGCTTGATTCCACAATCAACACACTTGGCACCAACAGTAAGGGAATCAAAAGACAAATAAGAAAAGTCTGCTGTCAGGGAACTCTCTAGAGTACTGGACAGCAATGATGTGAATATGGGGACTAAGGCACAGCTGATAAAGGCCGTGGACTTCACAATAACTTCCTATGCATTAGATAGCTGGACAATGACTAAAGATGATAAGAGAAGAATTGATGATGTCTTTGAGTTGCAGTGTTGCAGAAGAGTGTTGAACATACTGTGGACTGCCAAGAGAACAAACAAGACAGTACTCCATCTTACATGCTTTGGGCACGTGGCAAGGAGGGGGCAGTCCTTGGAGAGCATCTTGAGTGGAGGGCTGGAAGGACAGTGCAAGAGAGGGAGACACATGATGAGATGGGTTGACTCAGTGACTGGAGCAATGGGATGATGAATGTTGGAGGTGATGAGACTGGCTGAAGGTGGGGCAGCCTTCACGACTATGAAGCATAGTGTCGGTGTGAGTCACAGGCGACTTGACAGCGCATAACAACAACACAGTTATTTAACTTTACAAGTTGCTCCTTTCTATAAGATTCCGTAGATGCACATGTAATCCACCACTGTGCCATTGTAGGTGTGGACCGTAGAGTCGGAACCGACCCAAAACTGACCCTCTGGCAGGTTTTCAGAGGCACTAATCAAGCAGAGGAGACTGCCAATACTTTTTCTGTGGAGCAGCTGGTGGGTTTTGAGATTGTAGCATAGCTTCTTGCCACTAGGCCACCACTACAAAATCATACAGAGTGGTTTCGCTGTCTCTCACAGTCTCTGTGTTCCACCTCTTCATCCATCCCCATCCCTTGAAACCCTGTTTTCTTTCTGTCTTCTTAGTTTTGACCTGACAGGAATGGCCTTCCCTTGAAGCACAGGGTATAGATCCTTCCAGATGCATGTTTTACTTAGTAATGAAACATGAAAGTGTTTTCCTGTCTTTTCTTGCCTTGAATGTTCTCCTGTCGTAACAGACTAGTTTTCCGACCTGTGTCTCTACCACTGCTTGTTTCTCCATTGACTTCTTGAAAGAGATCCTGACTGGTCTCAAGTTTTAGAAAATCTAAATGAAGCTGATGTTAACATTCATGTGCAGCTTTTTCAAGTAGTATCAATCTCCACTTCATTCTGGTAAATCCTAGGGCCAGAATTGTTGAATTATAAAGAATATGTATTGTTTTTGTAAAGCCTGTTCCTCTGCCTCCCTAAGCCTGTCCCACTGCCCTCTCTAAGCCTGTCCCACTGCCCTCCCTAAGCCTGTCCCACTGCCCTCTCTAAGTGGCTCTAACAATGTGCTTTCCCAACAGGTATGTCTGCTTCCTGAAACACTTCCTTTGGAATTCCATCAATTCCGATGCGCCTATATTATTGTCATGTCTTCAGTGCAACTCAGACTACTTTCGACAGTACCATTACTTCTTGAAAATATGCTGCATCCTGAAATAGTTCCAGATCAACCAGCTCTTTTGGGTGCCATAACCATATTCCTTAACTCTGATTTTGTTGTTTTCTGCGTTATTAAATATTTTGCCCATAGTCTCCTGCAATGTTATAACTCAAGCCTTGGATATTTCTTGATTCTTTTAGCTTGAGAAATGCCAAGGATGTTCTTATTTGGACTTTCTACCTCCAGTTCCTTGCACTTTTCATGAGTAGATTTTGCTTAGTCTTCATGAGATGCTACTTGAAATCTTCTGTTAGGTTCTCTTACCACAGAGTTCCCTTCCCTGGTTTTGGCTTCATTTCCTTCCAACGCAAGTTCCAGAGTCCCTGCTGACATCCTTTCTGTTCTTTTCTTCCTTCTATGTCTTGAGAATGACCTTTTGCTTCTCAGTGGATAATGCCCTTGATTTCATCACACATCTGCTCTACTGTCATCAGTGTTCATTGCTCAGATCTAGTCTCTTTTTTACATTTGTATTTTATATCGGTTTGCTTACCATGTTTTATCCTTCTTGTTTCTCACTGTCCTTCATTCACATTTTGTTCGGTACAATCGTTCCCCTTCATTGTGTTTTATAAAATGAATCATTGCTGAGCCATGCAGAGTCCCCCCTGGTCTTTCCCATTTCCTTTGCCCACCCTTCCATCCACCCAGGAAACTGTGTAACCCCGTGATTTCACCTGTGCCATCTTCACCTTTCTGCTCCTCCTGACCCCCCGTGGATCCTCACACACATTTTACTAGTTATCTTTCTTTTTCTACAGTCATGGACTTACACACTATTTCTCCTCATGAGATTGAGTTGGTTCACTCAGCATAATGCTCTCCAGTCCCTGCCAAGTTATGTAATGATTTTTTAAAATCGTTGCTTCTGAGTGCCACATTGTATTTCATTGTGTGAATTTACCACAACTTCTCAAGCCATTCAATTGTGGTTGCACATTTCAGGAAAAAATAAAATTGATGAAAAGAACCTTCAAAAGGTTGAAGCACTGTGTACATCAAAAACGTTTTCCAACAGGAAAAATCTTTTGGCAATACCATCTCAGATAAGGGTCTCATAACAAAAGTTTACAGGCTCCTGCTGGGGCTCCAGAAGGAGAGACGGATACCCCAATTACAAAAAGAGCAAAAGACTTAGAAAGACTGCGTACAGAGAAGACATTCAGATAGCCAACAGACACATGGAAAAATGCTCAACGTCATTGACAATAAGTGAGGTACAAATCAAAACCATAATGAGATAAGCATTTCACTCCAGTAGCAGTGGCAAAGTTTAACAAAGCAGCAGACAGCAAATGTTGGAGAGGATGCAGAAAGATAAGATCTCTGATACACTGGTTGGTGGGATTGGAAAATGGTACAATCACTAAAGAAGGCAATTTGGTGTTTCTTCAAAAACCTGAATATAGAAATTCCATATGACCCAGCTATTCCACTGTTAAGAATATATCCTGAGAAAATATGAAATTAGACACAAACAGAATACCAGTGTTCACAGCAACAGTATTCACCATCACAAGAACTTGGGGGAAACCCAAATCTATTCTTGTTGTTTGTAGTTATGTGCCATCAAGTCACTTGCAACTCATAGTGATCCTATGTACAACAGCCTTATACCCTGCTCTACCCTGTGCCAACCTCACCGCCTCCGACACATTTACTCCCACCACCCCAATCACAGGATCAATCCACCTCATTGAGGGTCTTCCTCTCCTGCACTATCCCTCCAATCCCCCAAACACGATGTCCCTCCCCAAGAACTGGTCCCTCCTTGCAACATTCCCAAAGTATGTAAGATGAAGGTTCAGAATCCTTGACTCCAAGGAGCAGCCCTGTTTAACCCTCTCCAGCACAAACCTGTTTGTTCTCCTAGCAGTCTATTCTACAGTCAACACTCTTTTCTAGCGACACAGCTCAAAGGCATCAATTCTCTTTCTATCATCCCTAGTCACTGTCCAGCTCTCAGATGCATAGCACACAATTGCAAAGACTATGGTCCAGATCAGGTGCACCTTAGTCTCCAGCCTGACGTCGTTGCTCTTCAGTACTCTTGAGAGGTCCCTCACAGCTCCCAATGCAATTCATCTCTTGATTTCCTGGCTGCTGTTACCAAGTGTGTTGACTGTGGAGTCAAACAAACTAAAGCTGTTAACTATCTCAATCTCTTCACCATCCATACTGATGCTGCCCATTGGCCCCAGTGGTGAGAATCTTTTTTTTTTTTTTTTAGAATCTTTGTTTTCTTGTTGTTGAGTTTCAATACAAACTGATGGCTACAGCTGTTGAACTTCTGCAGCAAGATGGTTTTCAATTTCAGTGGGATTACATCCAAGGTCATATTTTTGTTGTCAAAACGTTTTCATTTTCTTCTCCTTCAGTTCGGACTTGTATCTGCATAGTTGTCTTGAAGGACATGCAGTCAGAGCGCTCCTGGGAGTCAAGGAGGATGGCGCCACATCTCATCTGGGGTGTGTTGGCAGGAGGGACCAGTAATTGGAGAGACACCTCCTGCTGGGACAGGTAGAGGGTCTGTGGAAGAGAGGAAGACCCTCAACGAGATGATCAACACAGAGAGCACCCCCCTGCTCGAGCAAAGGTGGCGCCGGACAGGGCAAGGGTCCATGTCTTGTCCCCAGGGTTGGGCGGAGTCAGTAGACAGCTGCTCACAGCAACAACCAGCACGGATGGAGGTGCGTGCCTACTGCTCACACTCGGCGGCGCTGGGCTGGCCTCGCTGTGGACGTCAGCCATTCCACAGTCAGGCAGTGTTTTACATTCTTGCTTTTATTTCTGGTTCCCAAGTACATAGAGCGTTCTCTTCTTTTGCGATGGAAAAGAAATGCATGAATATTAAAAAATAATGAAAACCAGTACTCATTACACAAATAATACACCTCTTCCCTGGGTGAAATGGGATGACTAAACCAAATAAATGGAGAGAGAGGAAAGAAGAGACAGAGGGGAAGAGTCAAGTACACAAACACTGACACAGTGGCTGGGGCATCAGTAACACAACAACAGGGAAGTGACACACACCCAGGATGAGGGCACGGAGGGATATAAAGGCGCCAGAGACAGTGGCTTCCACATTCCAGCACCTTCCTCTGCACCTGCTCTTCTAACCAAACCCTCCTCAACTCACCTGAATCATGAGCTGCTGTGGCTGTTCCGGAGGCTGTGGGGGCTGCGGCTCCAGCTGTGGGGGCTGTGGCTCCAGCTGCTGTGTGCCCGTGTGCTGCTGCAAGCCCGTGTGCTGCTGTGTGCCAGCCTGCTCCTGCTCCAGCTGTGGCTCCTGTGGGGGCAGCAAGGGGGTCTGTAGTTCAAGTGGCTGCTGTCAGTCCAACTGCTGCAAACCCAGTTGCTGCCAGTCCAGCTGCTGCAAGCCCTGTTGCTGCCAGTCCAGCTGCTGCAAGCCCAGTTGCTGCTCCTCCGGCTGTGGACAGTCCTGCTGTCAGTCCAGCTGCTGTAAACCTTGCTGTTGTCAGTCCAGCTGCTGTAAGCCCAGTTGCTGTCAGTCCAGCTGCTGTCAGTCCAGCTGCTGCAAGCCCCGCTGCTGCTCTTCTGGCTCTGGCTCCTGTGACTGCTCTGAGGTCATCTGCTGTGTCCCCATTTGCTGCTAGAATGGCATCTGCTGTAGGAACAGTCTTCATTCCATGTCTCCCAACTGCTCCCTCTGCTGACGGCCTTGGTGAACTGCAGGTCTCTCTTCTTGCCCTGGACCCAGTACTTCACACACCTGAGTGGACATCCTGGGAGACAACCTCACTCAGGCCAGAGAGCAGTCCTGCGCTCACAACGGCCCTCTAAGGAGTAAGTGGCCATGGTTGGCAAGTTTCATTCCTCTCAGGAACACTGTCTTCCACTTCCAGGAACCGATCTCCACGTCAGGGTCACCAGAGGCTCATGAGAACCTCTACCTTCCTGCTTCCAAACTAGGAAAAACCACCACTGCTGACCTCCCCCAGCCTCCTCCTCCTCCCACCACCTAACATAGCCCAGTGCACCAGGAGGCCCCTTCTTTAGAGCGGGCTTCCATATTTGTGTTTTAAGTACAATTCACTGTCAATAAAAATTTCTAAAAAAAAAAATTTCTATCAGTACAATTATTCATCGTGTCATTCTGTCAGTTGCCTCTTCACCATGAGCTGACAGAAGTAGATGTATTGCTACATGATGAAATGCCTAAAGTCACATTCAACAAACCACTTCACTGAGAAACTGTGGTACAGTCACACGATGTAATGCTATGCATCACTCGGGAGCAGCGACTTTGCAAAAGGCTATATAACGTGGAAGAGACTAGAGCACTATACTGAGTGAACTAACTCAGGCTCATAAGGACTAATACTGTTTCTCTCATAGCAGAAGGATCACTAGTGAGATGTGCATGTATATCCTACAAGGGAAAGGGAAGGGCCGGAGGGGCTGGATGAGGGGGGGTGCAAGTCACGGGGGTCACAGAGTTGGTGGGTGGAGGGAGGAGTGAAGTAATTAGGCAAGGTCCAGTGAGGGCCTCAAAAGACAGGGTAATAGTGGGCGCAGATCAACAGTGATTAATTTTATACATTACAGTGTAGGAGAATAATTTTAAGAAACACAAGGTGAATAAAAATACAAAGAAATTGGGTTGACTTTAAAAAAAAAAACACAGAAAAACCAAAAAGTATCATAGTTACCAAAACAGGGGCAGTCCAATGATGCGTGGTAGCCTCAGTCATGTTTTGGTTAATCTAGTGATTACTATTTAAATAACTGTTTCAAACACTGAGATAGAAAAGGTACATTTTCTTTTTAATTACATAATTTTGAACCTGTAAAGTTCATAGATGTTTGTATTAATTTCCGATAGCTGCTGTAACAAATCATCAAATGTGGTGACTGAAAAGAACATATATTTCAACACAACAGCGGAATCACCCAGGCCTGTGGCTGGAGACCAGGATGGTGCGATTGTCCCCCACTCTCTCCTGGTGGGCTGAGGTGCAGTCTTCCCTACACCGGACACAGCCAGCCCACAGCGGGCGACACCTGCCTCCAGCCTGGCTCCTGCTCGGCCTCCGGAGACCAGGACTCCAGGGCTTGCCACCACCTGCCACACAATCTCTCTCCACTGCCTCTGACCTGCTGACTGAAGTGTCAGGTCGGCCGTCCCTTGCCCAGGAGGAGCTCTCCAGGCCCGGGTGCTCTTCTAACCCCAGTTTTTTCTTTTCTGTTTAGAAGTTTCTAGCCTCCTTGTGCTTCTCTCGTCTCCCCGACTTTATTCCCTCATTCTCTTTCTCTTCTTCCTTCTCTGTTCTTTCCCCTCCTGCGTTAGTAGTTTCCCGTGTCTTCCTTTTCCTTATTTTTTTCCCTATTCTTTGCTTTATTGCTCTTGTGAATTTATTATTTTTTATTATTATTATTATTTGATTTTTGTTTGGCTCTGTTTCATATCTTTTTTTCCATCATTTAAAAAATTAATTTTAATGACATTTACAGAGATATTGGATTTC